AGTGCCTTCCTCATTAATCCTGCTGTGTTGTCAAAATGTCATGTTGTCAGTAATTTTAAGAGAAGTTAATTAACCTGGTGACATGGTGACGTAGTGACACCTAAAAACCATCTACCCTAAACATTATTTTTGGGTCATTTACACTCATTACGATGAAGAAGTTATGACAAAGCATTTATGTTCATGTTTGACAAAGTGTTTACGTTTAGTTTCGATGAAGTCTTGACAAAACATATACGAAGAAATCATGACAAAGCATATACGATGAAGTTTTGACAAAACATATACGAAGAAGTCATGACAAAAGCATTTACGATGAAGTATTGACAAAGTGTTTACGTTTATGTTTAACATAGAGTTTACGTTCATGTTTGACATAGAGTTTACGTTTAGTTTCGATGAAGTCTTTACGTTTAAGTTCGACAAAGTGTTTCGTTCATGTTTAACATAGAGTTTACGTTCATGTTTGACATAGAGTTTACGTTTAGTTTCGATGAAGTTTTGACAAAACATTTACGATGACATTTTGACAAAGCATATACGATGAAGTTTTGACAAAGTGTTTACGATGAAATACTTGTAAATGAAGTTTTATAAAGTATGATTGGAATTTATTTTTGCGTTAATCCTGCTGTGTTGTCAAAATGTCATGTTGTCACCGATTTTAAAAATAAATGAAACAGGGGAGGAAGAAATAAATGAAAGTGAAAATGTTCAACAAAAAATAAACGTTGTTAAACCAATTACTGAAATAAAAATTTTTTCATCTGTTGAAGAATTTAATGACTATTATGCTAATATAGGGTGTCCAAAGGTGCGTTTAGCACAGCGCTCTATATGAGACTATTAAAGGAGATATATGCTGATTATAAATATATAATAAAAAATATGAATATATGTATATGATGAGTATGTTGTATTTTGGCGCCATGCCGGGATATAAAATGAATTTTGAGACAAGAGGCGGTTTCGCGGGAAATTTTGGCGGGATTTTTTTCATTTTTTTAATGAATCATAAAGAAAACATCCTCGCTCTTGCAAAAAAATGCAAAGACTGTAAAAAAATCTACGAGACATTGGTAAAATGCTTCGGTATGGATGCTCCTAGCTATTCCACTGTAACGTATCATGTTAGGATGTATCACTTCATGAACAAAAAGGCGCCCATCATAAAAATTGACAAAAAATCGCCGGATCAAAGAAAAATCAAAGCAATTCTTCAAGCGCTAGATGAAGACCCAAGAGCATCACTCAGAAGGATAGAGGAGATGACAAAGATACCACGTACAACAGTCAGTTATTATCTGCACAATTATTTGAACTACAAACTAGCGTATACACGTTGGGTTCCGCACAACCTTAATTCAGTTCAAAAAAAATCTAGAGTCCAATCTTCGAAAGAGCTCCTCTCTATATTGGGTGCGTATCAATCCAAGAAGTTTCGCTTTTTAGTAACAGGGGACGAGTCTTGGTTTCAATATGCAACAGAAGCCAAAATCATGTGGATCCCGAAGGATGAAAATCCGCAAACATTCCCGAAGAAAAAAATTGACACACAATGATGATGTTGTCGGTTTTTTGGGGCGTGAATGGCATCATCGCAATTGATATTCTTCAAAAACCTAATACGATGAATGCTCAGTATCTAATTGACAATGTTCTTACTCAAATTATCAATTCTGATGAGTTTGAGAAATCCAAACAACAAAAACAAAAGTTTGCAATTCATTTTGATAATTCAAGAGTTCACAAAAGTCATAAGGTAATGAATTACTTGTTGGAAAACAATGTCAAAGTTGTTCCAAACCCAATTTATTCACCTGATATTGCACCCTCTGACTTTTATTTATTCGGCACGCTAAAAAAGAGAGCTGAAGGACGCGAATTCGCGAGTCCAGATGATCTTGAAAATTTTGTAAGAGAGCAATTTGAGCAATTTTCTCATGATGATTTAAAGCGTGTCTTTCAAGCCTGGATCGATCGCTGCGAACGCGTGATTGAATCCAATGGTGATTATATTTAAATAAACTTTATATATATGTAACTTGTTTATTTCTATTCGCAGTATTCAGGTTTGTGCTAAACACACCTTTGGACACCCTATAATAAAAAATTATTTGAAGAATTGACAACATGTAAATTGAATAAAATGTTTAAAGTTGATGGATTCAAAATTTCAAAAATAAAGGGGGTGGTTAGTTTGAAATCTATTCCTCAATCAAGAATCACCTCATTAATGAAAATAGATGATTTAACAAAAAGAATAGAAGAGATTGAAGAAAGAATGAATCAAATAATTAATTTCATAAATTCAAATAATCATTAGTTTCTTAAAGTTCAATGTTGAACTCATCAAATTTCTTTTTCTCGTTTATGAGGTCTTTGATTATGACTCCATTATATTTATACCTCCTTTCATACCTGTTGTCAAAATGTCATGTTGTCATCATTTTTAAGAGAAGTTAATTAACCTGGTGACATGGTGACGTGGTGACACCCTCAGTTCTTCAAAAATAATTAATTAATCGCGGAATATCTGACATCATCTATATATAGCTTCTTTTATAAAAGATAAAAAATAAATTATTTTTTATTTTATTATGGTAGTGAATCTTTTATTCATGAAAATAATTATTTCTAATTTCTTTTACTCTCTCGTACATACTAGATTTGAAGAATTCGGAACATTTCCCATAATCTCCTAAATGTTTTCTTATCCCTAACGTGTGCCAGTTATTATATGAAACTGTATAAACTTTATCTTTATCTTTGCATCTTTCATCACTTCCAATATATTTATATCTCAGTTTTGATTTAGCATTTTCATATTCATTAGCGTTTAATAATTCACAGTCTTCCTTTTTAAATTGATGTTTAAGATATTCAGGATTTAATACTCTACGTTTATATGCTCCTAACTTAGTTCTAAAGGTTTTTCTACAAAATTTAGGAATTCCATCCTCTTTAATGTCATCAATGATTTCCATTTCATTATTTTCAATTTCTTCTTCTCGTTTATGAGGTCTTTGATTATGACTCCATTGATTCCATGAAATTAAATATTCTTTATCATTATATTTATACCTCATTAGCTTATTTTGGCTTTCATATTCATTTAATAATTCACAATCTTCATTTTTAAATTGAAGTTTAACCCATTCAGGATTTAAACAATGTTTAATTAATCGCGGAATATCTGACATCATCTATATATAGCTTCTTTTATAAAAGATAAAAAAATAAATTATTTTAAAATTAATGTTAATTTTTTAAATGATTTATAAATAAATATATTTTAATGCATCGTCTATATATAGATGTAACAAAAAAAGTCACACAACCCTTCATATCATACTACTACTTGATCAATACAAAATGATTTTTTAACTAGTAAATAAAGTATTTTCTTTACACACGCATTGTATATCATAGTTTTTTTTTGGTTTCGCAAAACATCCAAAAACAAATATGCTATAAAAGTGACAATTTTAGCAAAACGAAACCCTTAGCTTATATTCCTTAAATTCTTTATGAAACTCGCAACAGTTCCATAAAAAAATTTAAATTCTAAACTGTCGAAATTACCGATCGGTAATCACACCCTTCACGGGTGTGTCACTTTTAGCTAAAATTACCACTACTCATTCATTAGGAGTAAATCATTCAATTCAAAATCCAGTAAACGAAATTATTATAAAATGTCATTATAGATGTATTTCCGCTCAAAAGTGTTGTAAACAGAAATTCATCAAAAGTGACACCTCAGAAAAGCTAAAATATTGAATTTTTGGAACTTTTGATAGAGCACGTTTTTAAATATTAATTAAAGTAAATGTATATTTTGTAAAGATTCTTTTTAATAAAAAAATAAAATTTTGAAGAAGAACACAAAATCTTCTGAAAAATAATATCACATAAACTCATATTATTTTCTAATATATAACTATTTTATATAAAAATCAAATTCAATGATCTTAAAAGCGAAGGATAAACCTCAAAATTTACGAATATAATGAGTGGGAATATAATGCTTATCTATCATAAAACCATATGAAATATCAATTTTTGCTTTACGCCTAATTTTTGACGACAATTAGCAAAAAATGTTAAATGTTAACACTCAGTCCATTTGAATATGAAAAATAAAATTGACTTTGATTAAATGTTTTTATTTATCATGCAATTCTTCTTGCTAATTGTCGTCAAAAATTAGGCGTAAAGCAAAAATTAATATTTCATATGGTTTTATGATAGATAAGCATTATATTCCCACTCATTATATTCGTAAATTTTGAGGTTTATCCTTCGCTTTTAAGATCATTGAATTTGATTTTTATATAAAATAGTTATATATTAGAAAATAATATGAGTTTATGTGATATTATTTTTCAGAAGATTTCATTCTATATGCCTATGAAAAGTACTCTCAAAACTAACTTTTTCCTAATTATAATTAAATCTAGAATATTGTATTATGCTTAGTATTATTTCATTTTTCTCATTCAATTTAGAATTTACAAATGTCAAAAAATTGAGAGCTGTCACTTTTGATGAATTTCTGTTTACAACAAAAGTGAAATCTTTTTTGTTTATTCTTCATCTCAATTATTATGCGGAAATGGTTGAACTGGAAATACTATATTTCGTTCTTCATAAATACAGACTTACTGTTATTTTTTCCAGTTGTTACCATAATCCTATTAGCATCCTTTTTAAGAACATCCGCATCGAGTAAAATAATAAATTATTCGCCACCCTTAAAGAATATTTCGAAATTACACATACTTCGATTAACAGAAATCATCCATAACTACACTCTCAACAAATATTTATACGAAGACAAAATTTTAGTTTCAGATAATACTTATAAAGACTTTGAGATCGATTACGACAAGCATTCTTTAATATTTCAGCACACACAGTTACAACATTACATCTATGCTGACGTAAGTAGACAAGGAGTCAGTACATTTGGTGGATATTTTCATCAACCCTGCCCAATGAAATGGGAATACCCAGTTTATTTAAATGTTTCGCATTTTCTTCATATCTACGATAAAGCTGTCGTTGGATTTGGATATCATCCACAATTTGGACACGTTTTACAGGATATGATAGGAGCATTGATCAGTGTTCCAAGTGAAATCACCAAAGATGCAGATATATTTATCAGAGGTGAAGAATCTCAGGCAAGAGATTATTTGCCTTTACTCGGATTTGAAAAAAATAGAGTTCATTCGCTCCCAGAGAACTGGATTTTCGTAAAAGACCTTTACGTAGTAGTTACTAACTATGGTATATCAGGTCTTCAAGTTTCTTTTCGTGATTTACATGATGTCATTTTTAGAGTTAATAATCTAACAAATCTGAAGCCAACGTTGCATGTTTTTATTAACAAAGCAAAGAAAAATTGGGGCCACGTCACTAATATGCACCAATTATATGATTTATCACGAAAAAATTTTCCTCAATACGATTGGCGTCTTCTACCGGACACTTTTGTATTAAATGCATCTGAAACAATGAGAACCCTTGCAAGAACTAAGATATTTATTAGCGCTACCGGTTCTTGTTCGTTTAATATGATTTTTCTCCCTCAAAACAGCGGTTTGCTACTAATTGACTCCAGATTCCTTAACTCACCATGTATAGCAATTGCGCACACGTTGAACATCTGGTTCTACTACATTGCTTCGAATAGAATCAACAGAATTCCAGGAAGAACAGGTGGAAGACTAGAAGTAAACGTGTTCAATAAGTCCCTTGAGATGTTAATGACAGCAGTATATACAGGAAAATGGCCAGAAATTACAATTCCTTCGAGAAAATTCATTCAATTCGACAAAGAAAAGACAAAAAGACTTATTTTCAAGTACGGTAACGCTAAAAAGACAACTGTAATACGTTACGACCGAAAACTTGAGAATACAATGCTTACAAATGTTTATCCAAGATTGAAAGATTATTTCACTGAGCAATGATATTACATATGGCTAACTTGATCTTTTTTTTTGTGTTATTTTATTGATATTTTTCCTCAAGTCAAAATTTGATATTTTTTTCTCTCAGAAAAGAGTCAAATTACAACATGCATGCATTAGATTAGTGATGTATGCTTAAAAGTATATTAGAATTATATCCGATAAATAGGAGTTTCCTCATTTTATCCCAACATTTTACATCAGAAGAGGACTTCCTTTCTTCGGTTATATTGTTATTAATTATTTGTTTCTATTTTGTTTGAATAAATATAAATTGTTTTTAGATACATTGATTTTTAAACGAATTTACATCTTTTCGTATAAAATTCTTTTGTTAAACAGTATTACGCATACGAATAGATCGAATGTTCGGTAGTAATATGAACTTGGATATTAAAAGCTTGCAATTTATCTTAGATATCTTGAAAAATGATTATGCATTTATTTCTTTTATAAAAACAACCTTAAATGAAGTCATATTCCTCACATATCCTAAGTGTCTTTATATTTCCTTTTCTTGAATCAATAATTGCTCAAAAAGATTCATTCGCAATAAAGTATGATTGCGATCTGGTAGAAACTATCAGTATTCATAATTTGGATCTTAACATTAGATAATTCATATTTGGGTTAAGGGTCCACTGTAAGGCCAAATAAGGCCTATCGTCGTCCCAAAAATATTGCTCAAGATGGTGTTTTTACTAAGGCCCAAAACTTAAAAAAACACAAAAAAATTAACTTTACTATTTTGAGATCCTTATCAGATGTGCAACAATTTGATGCAGTATCGCAATTCGAATCCGATTTTTTAATGTAGATGTACTCTAACATTCTTGAAAAAATGCAAAATGATATTAATCAAGCTTTTCATTTCTGTATCATACACGAAACAAAATCATTCATTATACTAAAATTTATCAAAGTTTGAATAATGAAAAAAATAATATCTAAATTTTTACATTGAGTCGGCTATTGATATGGTCAATATTAAATCGTTTAAAAATGGGCATTGGCCAGAATAATACCCACTAAAATACACATTTTTTAAATTTTATCAATTTGTTTTGGTATATCTTTATGATAATGAATAAAATGCTTATCTTTCATAAGTCAATACATAATTTATGCTGAAACACAAAAAATAACACGAAAATTTTTGGCCAACATTTCAAAACGAAGGATAATGAAAAAAAAAGGTAGTGGGGCTTCCAGGCGCGTTGCGCCCTCTAGCCCCGAAGATGTTTAGTATAAATGAAGTTTATATTCGGAGGGCTTCCAGGCGCGTTGCGCCCTCTAGCCCATAAGAAATTTTGCCCAAGACCCAAGAGGAGGACCGAACCCCAGCCGACCAGCCGGTGACACTTTTTATGTCGCTTTTCACAAATTATATATGTTTTCATGTTTTGTCACTTTTCTGTCACTTTTCGGGTAAAAACATTTTTATTATTATATATAAATGAATTTTACAAAACCACCGTTACCGTTCTTTGGAAATAAGAGTAGATGTAAAGATATTATATTGAGAGAACTTAAGAAACTACCGAATGGTCTAACATTTGTAGATTTGTTCGGTGGAAGTTTCTATATATCCCATTTATGTCATACCGTATTTCCTGACTCAAAGATTATATGCAATGACTTCGACAACTATATGGACCGTCTCAAACATATTCCAGACACAAACAATATATTGAAAGAGTTAAAAGAAAAGATACCTATAGGTAAGATGGAACGTATACCATTAGATAAGAAAAATATTGTGAGAGAGGTTTTGAAAAAAGCAGAATATATAGACTGGGATAGTATATCTGCTAGACTATTATATAGTGGTGCTATAAGAGTTCATGACATTGAAACACTTATGTCAAAAGTTTTATATCTTAACTATACAAATGTTTTCAAAGAGGACATAGAAAAATATATTGAGGGTATAGAGTTTGTGAGATGTCATTGGACAGAGTTGTATGAAAAATATAAAGACAAGGAAAATGTTTTCTTTATAGTGGACCCGCCGTTCTATAACACATGGGATTTTCAATACCAAGTAGACTGGACTTTGAGAGACTCTTTAGAAACTTTAGACGTTATACATAACCATCCATGCTTTTACTTTACATCCGATAAAAGTGGTTTGGAAACCGTTATGAGATGGTTAGAGGACATACATGACTATGAGTTTATATATGACAAGATAGAATATGAGAGAGGTCCTATAAACCGGAGAAAGTGTCACAATAAAGAAATTTTATTAGTAAGTAAATGTGGTTTGAAATCGGATTGTTAGTTTTAGGTTTTTTCCATTGTGTCATTTATTTATTTGACGTGGCAGAAAAGTACAGAGAATATGAAGATGAACCAATGCCTGCAAATGTTCAGTATATGTACTCGTAAGAGATATTTTTATCTAATATTAAATGGACGCACAGAACTTAGCGAATGCACAGCAACCTGGACAACCAAACCCAGAGAATATTCCAAATGAAGTTAGAATACAAACTGCAATGGCAAACTATGGTCAGGTGCCAACAGATGTACAAATGCAAACTGCCATGTCAAATGACGCTGCGTTAGGTTTGCCACCATGGTATGCAAATATGAAATGGAAAGAGTTTTATACAAACCCTGAAGTGGGATATAAACAACTTTATGCAGATGACGCGAACACAGAAGTTGACCCAGAATATGTTTTCTACCAGAGGAGAAACAGAATGTATGAGCTCCAGTTAAAGAATGCTATGGAACTCAACAGGAAACGTAAGAGACTAGGCGGACATTAGATTTTTACACGTAGTAAATGGGTTTCTTCAGTAAGATAGGAAACTTCTTCAGAAGAGTTGGAAGAGGTATATGGAATGGAATAAAATCTGCCGGAAAAGGAATTTGGAACGGTGTCAAAAATATTGGTAAAAGAGTAGGTCAGTTTGTTGGTATTATATAGGGTGTCCAAAGGTGCGTTTAGCACAGCGCTCTATATGAGACTATTAAAGGAGATATATGCTGATTATAAATATATAATAAAAAATAGGAATATATGTATATGATGAGTATGTTGTATTTTGGCGCCATGCCGGGATATAAAATGAATTTTGAGACAAGAGGCGGTTTCGCGGGAAATTTTGGCGGGATTTTTTTCATTTTTTTAATGAATCATAAAGAAAACATCCTCGCTCTTGCAAAAAAATGCAAAGACTGTAAAAAAATCTACGAGACATTGGTAAAATGCTTCGGTATGGATGCTCCTAGCTATTCCACTGTAACGTATCATGTTAGGATGTATCACTTCATGAACAAAAAGGCGCCCATCATAAAAATTGACAAAAAATCGCCGGATCAAAGAAAAATCAAAGCAATTCTTCAAGCGCTAGATGAAGACCCAAGAGCATCACTCAGAAGGATAGAGGAGATGACAAAGATACCACGTACAACAGTCAGTTATTATCTGCACAATTATTTGAACTACAAACTAGCGTATACACGTTGGGTTCCGCACAACCTTAATTCAGTTCAAAAAAAATCTAGAGTCCAATCTTCGAAAGAGCTCCTCTCTATATTGGGTGCGTATCAATCCAAGAAGTTTCGCTTTTTAGTAACAGGGGACGAGTCTTGGTTTCAATATGCAACAGAAGCCAAAATCATGTGGATCCCGAAGGATGAAAATCCGCAAACATTCCCGAAGAAAAAAATTGACACACCAATGATGATGTTGTCGGTTTTTTGGGGCGTGAATGGCATCATCGCAATTGATATTCTTCAAAAACCTAATACGATGAATGCTCAGTATCTAATTGACAATGTTCTTACTCAAATTATCAATTCTGATGAGTTTGAGAAATCCAAACAACAAAAACAAAAGTTTGCAATTCATTTTGATAATTCAAGAGTTCACAAAAGTCATAAGGTAATGAATTACTTGGTGGAAAACAATGTCAAAGTTGTTCCAAACCCAATTTATTCACCTGATATTGCACCCTCTGACTTTTATTTATTCGGCACGCTAAAAAAGAGAGCTGAAGGACGCGAATTCGCGAGTCCAGATGATCTTGAAAATTTTGTAAGAGAGCAATTTGAGCAATTTTCTCATGATGATTTAAAGCGTGTCTTCCAAGCCTGGATCGATCGCTGCGAACGCGTGATTGAATCCAATGGTGATTATATTTAAATAAACTTTATATATATGTAACTTGTTTATTTCTATTCGCAGTATTCAGGTTTGTGCTAAACACACCTTTGGACACCCTATACCTAAAGGCCCTGAACCAGAAGAACAAGCTCCTGTTATACAACAGCCTGAACCTGCACCACAGTCTAGTTGGCAACCAAATCCAACACCTCAACCGTATTAAAAAAATATATTTTTACCGTTCGATAGTAGTTGTATATGAAACTAAGTTCTAAGTAAAACGCATGGTATAATGGAATTATTCTTTTTCTTCCATCTGTAGTAAACCATACTTGAAAGTCTGAAATACTTCCACTTGGTGGTTCGTATAACTTTGTAGGTTTTTCGTAAAAGTCATTTGCCAAGCATAAGAAAGAGTTTTGGGCGCCAGAAAATGAAGCATGAACAATAATAGCATCTTGGTCGAAAATATTTTCATATGTTCCATTAGGGTTTTCGACTTCATAATAGTCCGGGTGTACTGGATATGCTGCAGGCTGATTTAACATCCTCATAAATCTATACCATGCCAAGTTGTTATATTTTGTAGAAATATAAACGTTTTCTCCAAGGTCTTCTATTTTATTGATTTTAACAGTTGCATTTTTCCTGTCATAAATAATATCGAGATGGTATTCTCCTTCGTCAATGTTATACTGGTTTGCATATTCAATATAGATGTCGTTTATTTTTTCTTGAAAAGCTTGAAGAGTTGTTTCTAAGTTTACAAGCAAACTAACTTGTAAAAGTTTTCCCTGTTCAAATTTCTCATACATACGTTTTTCTTTGTTATAGTATCGAACTTCAAAACCGACCGTAAATGGGAAACCATGTATGGCTT